GGCTAGAAAAAAAATTGGAAAACAAAATTGAAGAAACTAAAAACACTATTCTTGCTAATACCCCGCCCTCTTGGCACAATTGACTTAATAACCTTTTTGCCTTAATAATGATGATTGCTGTTCCTATCGCATCTTTCTTAGGGGTAGTAGCCAAAAAGCGTGAGAAAGACAAAGAGGAAATGAAAAAAAACTTGGATGATTTGCTAGCAAAAGCCAAGCAAGGAATTAATATGCGGCATACTCCCAAAAAGTATTTGGAAGAAGAGAAAGATTAATCAGCAAATTTATTTTTTCATTTTTTTTCTGTCAAAGTTAGCAAACCCCAAAGCAGAGCAATAATTATAAAAGTAATTGTTCCTCCTGTTAATAATATTGCCGAAACTGGAGAAACTGCACAACCCATATCTTTCATTGTTCCGCTAAAAGTTCTCATCTCGCGGCAACACTTTTCGCAATAATATTCGTGGTAGCTTTTAATTTCTTCCCCTGCTGGTATTTTTTCTAAACACCTTCTGCACTTCATATTTTTATTTTTTTGAAAAAAACTAATAAATGTTTCAACCGCCAGAATTGCCAAGACTGCCCGACATAAATCCTCAACAAACTACCCAAGACATTGTTAACACCACTTCTAATATTGGTCAACAAGCAGCCGAAACCAGCCAACAAGCAGGCACGGAGGTTAAAAATACTACTGACAATATGACTAATCAAATTGAAGATATTATTAAGCAAATTAACAACCTAAAAACGGAGTTAGAAGGAAAGATTAACGCAGTTAAGAATTGTGTGGAAAATGAAGTCAGCAAAATCAATTTTCAAGAAATTAAAGACAAAATTGACACATTGGGAGGATTACCAGGAAAATTAACCGAACTACAAGACAAATATAAGTATTATGCCGAGCATTGAAAGTGAACTTTAACGAAATATTCCTTATTATTTCTCCTAATTTTTCTAATTCTTCGTTATTTATACAAAGCCCTCATTGGTTTTGTTGATTGACCTTATAATTTTGTCAAGCGGCGATTATGAGATATCAAATGTGTGAAGTGTGGCAAATGATTTATACTTTGAAATCCTTTTGACAGTAGAGAAATGTGCCATCCGTGTCGGAAAATAGCTGATAAAAAATAACAATATGGAAAAATTAACCTAACAAAATTAAAATATTATGGAATGCCTCGGATGCGAAAAAGAATTTAAGTTAACTAACAAAGACCTAGGAATTATGCTGCGTCCCAATCAAGAAATTGAATTAGACCATGTAACTTACCAAAACGCAGTTTATTTTTATTGCTCCGATTGTAGAAAATATTTAGACGAGCAAGGAATAGATGAAGTTTACTTATACGAGTATTTACGCTTTCAACAACTTCACGAACTATTGGCAACTTTGCCTAATTCTCAGCAAAAACAAACCGCCGAAGCATTTGACCTAGCCCAGCAAGTAGTAACCGAAAGGGAAATCCACACCGACGCTATGAAGGCCATGGACCGTTGATATGCTCGTGAGTACAAAGACTTAAAAGCCGATTGAAAAAGAAAAGATGTTAGAATTAGAGAATTAGAGGAAGAAAATCGCAATTTGAAAAGGCAGTTAGAGGTTCAAATTCAAATCCAACAACCAAAATTCAATACTAATATTCATTCTGTTCGCCCCTTTTTCTCAAATCTACTTTATACTATAATGCTTTTCGGTGGTTTACAATATCGTTAATGCCCCAGGTCAAAATAACTAATTTGCAAATACTCCAAAGAGTAAGCAATTCAGAGTTCAACACCGACCCTTACTTTTATATGCTTTTCAATAATGATAAACCAGATGGGAGTAATAACAAAGTCTTTTTTGCTTTTGGTAACAAAGTTAAACAAAATTGGGAGATATTAAGTGAAAATCACGAGAACATTAAAGAGATACAGATTGAATACGAACCTCACGACCGAGGAAATAGAGTAGTGAATATTCTTAATTGGACTGTCAGCAGTTAAAAAAAATATTATTGCTTGTTTTGGTTTT